TCCCAAACAAACTGAAGAGACTAACGACAAGACACATCATAATTAAAAGGCCAAAGGTTAAAGATACAGAGAGAATCTTAAAAGCAGCAAGAGGAAAGAAATTAGTTACCTATAGGGGAGTTCCCATAAGACCATCAGCTGATTCTCAAAAGAAACTTTGCAGGCTAGAAGGGATTGGCAAGAAATACTCAAAGTCATGAAAAGCAAGGACCTACAGCCAATACTGCTCTACCCAGCAAAGATAGCATTTAGAACGAAAGGGCTGATAAAGTGCTTCCTAGACAAGAAAAAACTAAAAAATTTCACCATCACCAAGCTGTTACTATATGTAATGTTAAAGGGACCTATTTAAGAAAAAGAAAATCAAAACTACAAACAATAAAATGGCAATAAATATGTATCTATCAACAACTGAATCTAAAAACAACCTAAGCAAACAAGAGAACAGAGACAGAGTCATGGACACAGAGCATTTTGGTGGCTGTCACATGGGAAGGGGTTATGATGGACTGGGTAAAAAAGTGAAAGGATTAAGAAGTACAAATAGGTCATTACGGAATAGCCATGGGGATGTACAGCACAGTATACGGAATGGAGCAGTCAAAGAACTTACACGCATGACCCATGGACATGAACAAAGGTATGGCAATTGCCAGTGGGAGTGGGGGTATTGGCTGGAGAGGGGTAAAGGGGAAAATGTTAGGACAACTGCAACAGCATTAATCAATAAAATATAATTTAAAAAAATGCATAACTCCCAAAACAGGGTATTTTTAAATTCCCAAAATAATGAGCATTAGAGCAAGAGTTAATTTCAAAAATAAAATTCACAGCCACGGTAAAACCATATTCTTAATCTTTAAAATTCCACCATACCCGACCAATAACTTACAGGGAAATTAAGGTGATGAATAACACCTACACAGCATTTACTATGTACCAGGCTTTTTTCTAATGTATCTTATTAATTCTCCTAACCATCCCATAAAGTATGTACTATTATCATCCCCACATTACTCATGAAGTTAGTTTTCAAAACTAGCTTGACTGTAGAGTCAAACTCTTACCTCTTATCTTATACTGCTTATCCAGAGGACAGAAATTAACATCCTGCCTCCACCACTTTCTACATTCAAAGTTCAAAGCAAGGAAAGTAGGCTTCTTGGAAAAGTTACTCTACACCCTACATCTCAACACAGAAAAGATTCCAGTTCAGTAGACCGAGGCTGCAGCCACAATCTGTATTTTTTAAAGGCACCACACATGATTCCTGCGAACACTGGTTAACATCCCCTGCCCTAGGTTTCTAAAGTAGACAAGGCTTAGCTGAACCTTTTTGGGGGAATGGCAAGAGAAGGCTAAATAAATACACACACACTCTCTCTCTCAAATATATACATACACACATCATATTCTGCCGTGTACAATGTGCATTTTTTTGCCCAAATTTTTGAAGGAAAAATAAGGATGAGCATTATACATGGGTAGTACTGATTTCCATGTATAATTTGTATGATGCTCATTATGTATGGGTAGTACTTGTCCATTAGCATTACACATGGGAATTAGTAGTAAAACATGGGTTCGCATTATACACGGCAAAATATGGTATATAGTCTGTCTGGGAAAAGTCCAGCCATTGTTATTGTAACAAGAACAGTTTGTGAAACACCAATGTAACCTGGCAGCCAAGGAGAGTAGACTGGAATGCACATGTGTGAATAATGACAACTTCACTGTACCAGTCAGTGGGCATAATAGATGCCGTTAAGTGAGCATGTGTACTGTGTGGCAATCTCATTCAAAATGATTGAGAGAGTACAGCAACAAATCTGCCCCAAATTTTGCATTAAGCTTCAACGTTCCTCCTCAGAAACTATTCTGATAATTCTGAAGGCCAGTTATGGGCAACTTGTGACTGGCAGCTTCATCGTGACAACGTGCCCATTCATGCATCATGTCTCGTATAGTTTTTTTGGCAAAACATCAAATCACCCAGGTGACTCAGCCCTGCTACAGCCCAGATTTGGTGACCTCAGACTTCTGGCTGTTATCAAAACTGAAATCATTTTCAAATGGGAAGAGATTTCAGACTGATGATGAGATTCAGAAAAATACAGGGCAGCTGATGGCAATTGGGAGAACTGAGTGAGGTCCCAAGGTTCCTTCTTTGAAGGGAACTGAGGAGTCATTGTGCTATGTACAATGTTTCTTGTATCTTCTTCAATCAATTTCTGTTTTTCATATTGCATGGCTGGACACCTTCTGGACATATATACACTTTCCTTACTGCCCATTCCCCCCAAAAATAACTGCGAAGTAGGGAGGCATAACATAAAGCCAGAAAAAAGGTAACATAGGTTCTTATTCCTTGAGTAGTATTTTTAACAGTGGCAGTAACAAAAGAAAGATATTTTGTTTTTTAAAGCAACACACAATCAGATGTGTGCATTAGAAAAATAACTCCAGTGGTGGTTCTGAGAGATGACTGTGGGCAAAAAGACTGCACACAAGGGAAAAAAAACTGCCAAAGCCCTGGCTGGCGTAGCTCAGTGGATTGAGCGTGGGCCTGCGAACCAGAGTATCACGGTTTGATTCCCAGACAGGGCACATGCCTGGGTTGCAGGCCAGTTCCCACCAGGGGACACACAAGAGGCAACCATACATTGGTGTTTCTCTCCCTATCTCCTTCCCTTCCCCTCTAAAGATAAAGAAATAAAATCTTAAAAAAAAAAAAAAACAACCTGCCAAGAACTCAAAACTGAAGCAAACTAAAGGCCTGAATGAAGAAAGCATTGAGAATCAAGAAGATGCAGCAAGTTTAAGAAACATCATTAAGATAAAACTGCTAGGCCTGGGTTATTGATTAAACGTTTAATCAATAACCAGAGCCCTGGCCGCTGTGGCTCAGTAGATTGAGCACCAGCCTGTGAATCAAAGGGTCACCAGTTTGATTCCCAGCCTAGGGCACATGCCTGGACTGCAGGCCAGGTCCCCAGCGGGGGGGAGGGGACACACACACACACACACACACACACACACGCATGAGATGCAACCATACATTGATGCTTCTCTCCCTCCCTCCCTCTCTCTAAAATAAATAAAATCTTTTTTTAAAAAGTCACAGAAATGGACATTTTTTTTGTTTTACATGCACTCAGGTGAATGATGCCTTTAAACTAGATGTGGGCTTACTGAGAGAATAAGTGAAAGGTTTGTTGGATCATGATGGTATTACTTGGGAGAGGGGCAGCTTTTGGCATGAAAATATAGTTTAGATGCAGTGATGGAAATGAGTGTGAATGTGCAATAAGTGAGAATGAGGCTACCACCTCATTTTCAGAGTAGAGTTATGAAACAAAAGACTAATTTTAAGAAGCCAGATTATAAAAGGTAAGTGCCTGGGAGGAAAGAGTGAAAAAAGTCTTGTATTTCACAGTTGTTTCATCATCTCAAGAGTTCTTTCAAAACCAATCCACACCTCAAAAGGGGAAATGCAGTTCAAAAGGAATGATCCCTTCTTGGAAAATCTTAGCTCGGATCAGCACAGATGGAAAATCAAAGAGGATAACCTTCACATACAGGGCAGGGAAAAAGTGGGTTTACAGTTGTGAGTATGCAAAACACAGAGTTTATTTTTATTATTCATTAATTACTGTATTATTTTCCATATGAACAACTATAAACCTACTTTTTCCCCATCCTGTATGTAGTGAGTCAAGTAGGGCAGATGTCTTCAAGCATCTGCCCTGAAGACAAAAAGTGACAAGACAACCAAAGAGCATGAATAATCAAAAAATCAATGACCAACTTATTTAAAATGGCAAGTGTGCAGAAGTATGCAATTATTTAATTAATGTTGTTAATTTCATGTAATCCTAACAACTCCAATACAAGAAATTATGACTCAGATCACCTCTACTCTGGAGATAAGCAATAAGAAGGACAGAGAAATCATGCTTGCTCAACAGAAACCACTACTGCATGTTATTTTGGTGGCCTAGTCTAGTAATTCATATACCAAACCTCGAGTGCTGCCAAATAATTCAAAATGCGATGGGGAGGGCAACAAAGGGGAAAATTAGTGAAACGCAAGGAACAGGGGAAGGCAATAAATAGTCCTTAGTGTGGGATGAGTCATCACAAGACCCAGCTGTTCATGAAATACTCCAGCAATGGGAAATGCTGCCAGGGCATGTCATGATAGTCCTAAAAAACAAGCTAATTTTACGAAGTCAGGTGTGCTGTCGGAACGTGAATGGGCAATATACATTTCTCCTCCGCCCCCAATCTCATTTCCCAACGAACTAGGCGGGAATCAATGATCGCCTCCTTCAGAAGGCACCACAGATAATTCCAAGGTAACATAATTCAGACGTCTGGGAAATAAATACCTTAACTAACACCTCCGTAGACAAGCGTGGGATGGTGTAAATCTCCAGCTCCCTAAATGCAAATCTGCCCTTATGCTCACAACCTCCAACCAACTCAGCAGTCTGGTAAAATGGATTCAATACACTTTTCTTGTACACGCACTGCTGCATAACACCTGTTCAGAGCTCCTTTCGAAGAGCCTTCACCAGTAAAGTAGTTCGGAAGGCAGGGACAAATCAGATAAGGCCTCGAAGAGAGAGCCGCTGGAGTCAAAAAAGCACACATGAAGAACTGAAAAGGTGAGCTAGTAATAAAAAAGAAACTGGGCAACCGCCTGTCCCTTAGGAAAAGTATTACAAATAAAAGTTCCTCACCCCGGAGCAGAGCAGGGCACAACAGTGCGGAGGCCTAGGTGGCCTTGGGACAGAAGCCAGCTGTCTAATGCCCAGACTGAGCCGGCATTCTCCAGAAAACAGCTGACACCAACCAAGTCCTCTTCTCCTCTACCTGCCACAAGCTGTTCCTTATACAGAAAGGCCCTCGCGTTCCTCCCCACCAGCCTCCAGGTAGCAAAAGCATCCCCTGTCCCAGAAAAAGGGAAGATGTTCCCCGTGGCCGTTACTTACCTTCCCGCTTACAACACCCGCTGCCGCCATGTTTCCTGCGCGGGCCAGTGATGACGTAGCAGAGCCTCACGTGTCTCTTGTACTCACAACAACATCCGGCGAAACTAGGGTGATATCCGGGCGGGAAAGGGGAGGGGAGTAGCAGGAACGGCAAGAAGCGGAGGGGGAGTGGGGAGGGAGGGGCCGCCAGACGCATGCGTGCTGAGTAGGGCTCAGAGGCAGCCAGGGTGGGGCCTCTCGTGCACTGTGCGCATGCGCTAAGGTACTTTTACTAAGAGGGAGGCTGAATTCGAGTGTTGTACGTTGGCGTTTGCGGGGGTGTGAGATTCGGTGAGTCACCTGCCCCTTCAGTTGATAAAACACTGTTGGGAGTCAGCAATGGCTCCCCAGCAAGGAATCCTAGCCCTCTATCCAAGGCTCATACCTGGAGACTTTCCCCTCCGTAGGTGAAGTTTCTGAATTTGAGTCTGGTCACTACCACTCACACATGATGCTGAGGAAGTTATTTTGATAAGAACTGCAGTAATATACCACACCGTTACTGTTCTAGAATCCAATGTGCATGCCTCTTAGTAACTGTGACTTTAATCAAGTTTCTGAAATCAACCAAGCTTCAGATTGTAAAATGAGAATTACCCAAGGAGTGGTTGTAGGGATCTCGTGGAACAATGCATGTGTGATAAGATGGTTTGTTAAGGGAGTAAGATACTAATTTGTTCTCAATGCTATAAAAACACTAGAGAATCGATACTACCTGTGATAGCTCTGGCGCAAGATCTGGGACTTCCATTGCCCCAGGATATAATAAAAGGCCCTTTGTACCAAAAGACCTATGTATTTAGGTACTTCCTCTTTACAGTGGAAAGAGGTTAGAGGCTTCTGAGGTTGGCTGAGTAAGTAGCAACCAATGGAAATAACAGAAAAGGAGGGTTGCAGATTCTGTGACTATCAGGCACCTCATAAATGGGTGAGGGAGGAGGCAAGACCTTAGATGAGAATGGATGTGTAGTATCATTAGGGAGGCTGGATACTAGGCATCAGAGATTCTATCCATGCCCAAGACCCCATGCCCAAGACTGGCACTGAATCAGGAGAGCGGGTCATCTCTAACAGATAGGGAAATGAGCATAGAAATGGTAGCCAACAATTGGTTGGAAAGAGTTTGGCAACCATGATAGAGTAAAAACTTGAGGGCCTTCCCCAAATGTACTGGACTGAGTAAGACCCCTGGAACCTTCATAAAATCCTGGGTGTGGTTTGTAGAGCCACTAGTGACCCAGACTAAATTTTCCACCAGCTCAGAGTAATGGGGTATGATTAGATAAATTTTTTAATGTGACATTTCTTATATGTGTTTTAGAAAATAGTTGAGTGCCAGGAATAGAATACTCAAAATGGTGCCTATTTTTTATATAATAAATTTGGGAATTAAAGGTTTACCATTGAAAATTTGACACACTAGATTCATCTGCTATTTCTTTATATTCTTAACCCTCATCCTCCAACTGCCCCTTAAATGCTGGTGCTATCCATGGGCTGTGTTTGGATTTCTTTTACTTTTTTCCCAAACACTACCCTTGTGCCATTATCTTCATATTCCAGTATCACCACTACCTATGTGCTGATGACTCCTGACTATCTGGAGCCTAAGTCTTTATCTTTCCTAAAGTCTAGAACCTAAAATGACTGCCTGCTGGACCATTTTATTTGAATGACCCACTCACACCTCAAAAAGTCCTAAGTCTTTGCTGCACAATGTATAGTCTGCAGACCAGCAGCACCAGCATCACTTGGGAACCTGTTACAAACGCAGGACCTCAGGTCCCACCCTGAATCAAAATCTGCATCTTAACAAGATCCCCAGGTGATTTGTGTATATGTTAAACTTTAAGAAACATGGTCTTAAATTAAACATATTTTGCTTTAGTTTTGTGAAAATTAGTGCCATTTTCTGAATGAGATGTGGACTCAGAACACAATCTCTCCAGGAAAGTGTTGCTATCATGTTTCCCTGTTCTGTCGTTTCTTCTGGAGAGGTCCTGGGAAACACCCCCACAATGTCCCTCTTTTCTCTCCCCACTACCACCCCCCACAGTTCAGGTCTCTCATTACCTCTGGTTTGGATGACTTACTAGGGCATCTTAATTCTTCCCTTGCTTTCTGCTTCATCTTCCTCCTAACCCATTTTCATATCCCTATCAGATTAATTCTTCCAGATCATGAATGTGGTCATGTGAATTCTATGTTTGAAACCCCTTAATAGCTGCCCCATCTCCAGCATAGTATACAAGGTTCTTCATTAGTCACTCCTGCCCACCATTTTAGCTTTATCTCCTAACTTTGCTCACTCAGACCCAAGTCCCCAACCATAACCAAATATTGGAATGTCCCCTGAATGTACCATGCTGTGTCCCTAGACTGCTTCTGACTGCAGCAGATTGGCTTGGCTTGGCTTGTGCGATCATCCCTGAGCCAATCACTATGGCCCAAAGTATATGATGTCCTGATGAGCCAGACTTGAATCATATGTCAACAGCTCCAGTCAAAGTACATGAAATGAGAGGAAGGGCAATTCCCAAAGAAAAATCTGGGAACCATTCAAGAAAAAAGAGTGGCTGCTGGGTTATCCAAAGTAGACATCAATTACAGAGGTTCCATTTCTACAATCCCATGGTCTTAGACAGTAACATATTTGGTGATTTACTGAATTGCCTTTCTTTCCCTACTAGGCTACAAACTATTGGAAGTCAGGGAATATGCTTTTCATTTCTGTGACTACCACACCTGACACAATTGCCTAACCTATAGTAGACACCTACATAAGGGTTTGTTTAACAAATAATTTAAATAAATTCCCCATTCAGAAATGGCACAGTTATACATTGCCTTCAAACAGAAAGAAACCATTTTCTTTCTTCAATGATATCTTCTGTCTATATGCAAAAGGAAGAAACAAGGTCAGGATTTCAACATAATTTGTTTCGTGCTTTAGGTTTTTACTAAATTAGAAGGAAAATAATCATGGTACACTTACATATAACAAATGGACAGATTTTTTAAAGCAATATGCATATAAATTCAATGTAAATTAAGTCACTGAGTTCCCTATAACTTAAAACAAAATATTACTTTTCTCATGGAAGTGAGTAATTTTACAGTTCTTAAGTTCACTCCCATGAACCATATAATTATTTATTAATTATAACATCATTTGAAAAATCCTTTGATAAAAAATATCTTAATAAGTACTTTAAAGAAACTTTAGACCTAGACAGGACTGCACAGATCATTTCCCCAGATTTTTTCAGTTGAAAAAAATTGAATTTCTCAGCAATTAATGACTTGCCAAAGTCACAAGGTTACTCTATGACTGAATAGAGACTTCACTAGAGATATATGTCTCAGTCAGCAGTACTACAATATCAGGGGAAAGGGATCATTGGCCTCTCTAAACTACAGAATATAGTTACTTGTTTAATCTGATGCTCTCAGTTTCACCTCAGTTTCTTTCTTTTTTTTTTTTTTTTTGAGAGTATACTTATTAAAGTTTGGGACAATGAAACAAGGAAGGGTTTAGGATAGAAAAAGGAACAGGAGAGCTTAGGCAGGGCTTCTTTGGCTCACTGAAAACTCAGAGAAAAGGGAGTCCTTGGAGACAGGCTCAGGGGGTTAGCCCAGGAAAAGCTGCCACTGCCCACTGCTCCCCCTGGTTGCAAGTCTAGTGGGGACTCTTAGAATTTAGGAGATGGACACCTGCAGGGAAAAGAGAGAAGGACCAGAAAGGCTTGGGTGCTCCCTGAAGGGAAGGCGCACCTCACCTAAATTTCTGACTAACCTATATTTTTTTCAGAAATTATCCCATCATCTGATAAGATTTCCCCCAACTTTGCCACTACTCATTGATCTCTATCTTTCCTGAGCTCTTACAACACTCAGACTAAAACTGTATTTTAGTGCTTAACTGTACAAGGTGGTACTATGAAGAGAGCACATACTTTGCTGACAGTCAAGAGATTACAAGATCTCTCACTAAATAAAATGACCAGGGGATGAAATCAGACCTACAGTTACGGACAGTTGGGGATTGGTATTGAAATGACCCAGCCACATTTTCCTATAATAAAGAACAAAAACCAATGAGCTCCACCTATATACCCAGAATTCTAGTCAGTTTTTGTTTCTGGACCCTTACCTATAAACAGATAATTGTGGATCACTCCACATTTGAAGAAATCCTTTAAATTGAAAGACAGACCAAAATAAAAAACCAACAAAAAAACAATTGACGACAAGAAAGCAGAGAACAGAAAACAAACTTTTTAATTACAATAAATATTTTTAGAGAAATGTGAGATTTTGCAATCATGAAATGAGAATAAAAGGCCACGTAAAAATGTTCAGAAAAGCAAAATGAGGTGTTAGAAGTTAAAAAATAATAACAAATTTTTTTAAACTCATAAATGGTTTGGAAAATATGCTGAGGAAATGTCCCAGAAATTAGAACAAAAAACAAAAAGACAAAACTCTGGAAGTAGGAGAGAAAAGTTAAGAAAACTAGTTGATTAGACAAGGTTATCCAACATCAAAATGAGAGAAAGCAGAGAATATAGAAGGGGAAAAATTTTTTTAATTTCCCAGAAATGGGGAAGTTCTGGTCAAGACGACCATGTGGGTAAATATGGTACATGGAACCTCCCACAACCACATCAAAATTGTAACTAAGTTTTAGAACAACTATCATTCAGAGTGCCTAAAGCCTAGCTGAACAGAAGCCCTATAACTAAGGACATAAAAAAGTGACATAGAGGCAGGTAGGTGGGGCAGAGACATGGAAAAGGTAATTCCACAACCATGTGTCATGGATACCTCAGCTGCAAAGGTCCCACCTGAGGAGGGGGAGTACCAGTCCCACACAAGGTTCCCCACCCCCAGGGATCCAGTGAGAGGAAGAGATGTCCCCATAACTTCTTTCTGTAAAACCCAGCAGGGGGTGTGGCTGATGGAGACAGAGGGCTCCTGGTATCCATGTATTCCTTTCAAAGGGCCCATTTATGGACTTACTCTGACTCACACACTCTAAGCTCCAG